AGTTCCTGCTACAAAAAAAGGCCCTGGGTCTTGACAACACACAAGGTAAACAGAATAAGAAGCAAAAGGTGGGTGTGGCTGGATGACCACACTTCTGGTAACATGGCGGTGTGGACTAATATGCGAATGAGTTGTGCTGTCATGGTGTGGCTTAATATGCTAATCAGTTTCTGCTGCTGGGCGTGGCCTATTATGCTAATGAGTTCCTGTTGGGCTTTTTCTACAAAAAGAGCCCTGGATTCAACCTTCTTTGTAATCCAGGTTCTTTCCCCATTCTGCACTAAAATCGCGTTCAACTTTCTTCTTCTTCTGGATTTTCCACCCATTTTGCATTGCATCACCTCCCTTCAGTGGTCACCCCGGTTTGAGCCTACTGTTGCCCTGGGTTATTTGAATGCTGTTTTGCTGTGGACTTAAATTGCCTCGACTCGAACACTGAGAGAAATCGGAGTAGCAGGCAAATGCGGAAAGAACCTTGGTTCCCTGACATTTCACTCCAGTCTCACGGCAGCACCAGTCTCCCGGTCAGGAACTCTCTTTCTAAGGGCACGGGGAGAGAGGAAGCTTTTTGCCTCTCCCGTTGTGTCATTTTCCCAAGCTGAAATAGCCCAGGGGGAACTAATTGCTTCGATGGGGGACTGAGGGTCCCAAAGAGAAACCCTTCATGTTACCAGCAACTTGGGTGTGTGCACATTAACTGATATCACTTATGGTGACTCTATGAATTTTGTTGTTGTTGTTGCTGCTCAATCGAACAGTTGAGTCCGACTCTTTGCGACCCCATGGACCACCTCATGCCAGGCCCTCCTGTCTTCCGTCGTGCTCTGAGGTTTGCTCAATTTCATGTTCGTTGCATCTATGACACTGTCTAACCATCTCATCCTTTGCCATCCCCTTCTTCTTTGACCTTCTATATTTCCCAGCATCAGGGTCTTCTCCAGTGAGTGCTCCCTTCTCATTTGATGGCCAAAGGATTTGAGCTTCAGCTTCAGGATCTGGCCTTCCAGGGAACAGTCAGGGTTGATTTCTTTTAGGATTGACTGATTTGATCTTCTTGCAGTCCAAGGGACTCTCAAGAGTTTTCTCCAGCACCATAGTTCAAAAGAATCTATTCTTCGGCGCTCGGCCATCCTTATAGTCCAACTCTCGCAGTCATTCATGACTACTGGGAATACCATCGCTTTGACCATGCGGACTTTTGTTGGCAGGGTGATGCCTATACTTTTTATTATGCTATCTAGGTTTGCCATCGCTTTCCTCCCAAGGAGCAGGTGTCTTTTAATTTCATGGCTGCAGTCACCGTCTGCAGTGATCTTGGATCCCAGGAACATGAAGTCTATGAATTGGCATTCTCTAAAACCGCCTCTATCATTAACATCTTTGCTCAGGTCTTGGAGACTGGGGGCCATGGCTTCCTTGACTTGAGTCAACCATCTCATGTTGGGTCTCCCTCCCACTGCTTTCAGCTTTTCCTAGTGTTACTGTCTTTCCCAGTGATATCTCCAAACTGGTTAGAGATGTAAAATTACCCACAATTTTGAACCCCTCCAGGGAAGGGAGTTTTCTCTCTTTTCTTCTGAAAAAAATGGCTATGGGGGGATTGAAATATGGACTATACTTACTTGCCTGTGAAACTTTAACTGCTTCTATTGATTTAACAACAGGAAATGCTCCATTTATAACTTAGTTAGTATATAAAATTGTACCATTTGGAATATTTATGGAATTTAAAATTCTAAAGGTGGGTTTTTTTCCATGAGAAAAATGCATCATTTATAACTTACTTAGCAAATAAAACTGCACCATTTGGGATATTTATGGAACTCAAAATTACAAATATCTTTGTTCCTTATGAGAAAAAATTGTATATTCAATACTTGATATAAAACTGCAGACCGATGCACCCTAAAATTACCATAGCACATGTTTCTTTAATTTTTGCTATCTGAGAGATAGGAAAAAAGGTGAAGGTAAGAAACAAATTCTGCAGTAAACAAAATTAAGTTTATAACTTGCACAGAAGTTCTCTCGCAGAATCACAACAGGTAGGACTACCAGCCTATTTAGATATGACGTTAAGCTTTATAAAATGGAAAACACTGAACTCTTTTCAGTGCTCCCCAAAATGCCCAATTTTTCCATCGGAAAAAATGAAGGGGAAAAAAGTCCTTGAGGAAAGAAAAGGAGGGGGAATTCCCCCCACCCCACCCCGCCACGCGGGCCTTCACATCTTTACGTCTGATTCTTTCAACTGAAGACGCCAGGGACTGAACCTGGAACACTCTAAATGCAAAAGCAGAGGCTCTACCACAGAGCCACCACCCTACCTTAAGGGTTTTAATTCTTGGTAAAGCTGCGGTGTCTCAAGTGGTTAAGACGCTGAACTGCAGGCTGTGGAAGGTCGGTAGTTCAGCAGTTCGAGACCCGGGTGCCGCATGATGGAGTGAGCTCCCATCTCTGGCCCCAGCTCCTGCCAACCTAGCAGTTCGAAAGCAAGAAATTGCAAGTAGATAAATAGGTAACACTTCGGTGGGAAGGTAACAGTGTTCCGTGCGGCTTGGTGTTTAGTCATGCTGGCCACATGACCACGGAAACATCTTCGGACAGCGCTGGCTCTTCGGCTTTGAAACGGAGATGAGCACCGCAACTCTAGAGTCGGATTTGACTGGCTTTCGAGCAAGGGAACCTTTACCTTAATGTTAAAAAGCGACAGAATTGGCAGGACTGAACAGGCTACCTTATCGATCCTGGAGACCACGAAGGGCTTCTTCACAAAGGCAATCCTGGCATCCGTGTTCAGGGCAAGGAACTCCTGCATCTCTTCACTGTTGGTGATCTCAGGAATCGCACACAGTTGCTGAAACAACCGGAGATAGGAGTTTAAGGCCACGCCCAGCTTTGACTGAACTATGGTTAGCAACAGAGATTCCCAACGCCAGCTAGAGGGGGACACAGTCCTTACACTACGGACCCCCCCCCCGACCTTTTTACGTCTGCAGGAACCCTTTGGCCTTCTGACACAGGGTGGTATGCAAAACCAACAAAATAACTGCTACATGAGGCAGAGCCATACAAAACACCAGAAGAAGTCCAAGCGCAGGGCAAAAGAGGAGTGATTTTAAAATATACTGAGAAGAATAAGACAGAGAATAAAACCAGCACTGAGGTGGCAGCTGCCTCTGAAACATTATTTTAATCTGCACGGCCAATCGGGTCTCCAGCGGCCAATCAGAAATGGCCCAAACCACTCTCTAGAAGCACTTGGTGGGCACCAGGGAAAGTATCAGGGGGTACCATGGCGCCCAGGGGCACCGTGTTGGGGACGCCTGCCATAAGCTCTACTCAACTACGCCTGGCGAGCAATTTGTTCTAAGTAAACCAAACTCATTTCCCTACTGCAGGAGCCTCCGCACGAGGCTTTTCGTTTGGTGCTGACACCATTCACTCAATCATTTATTAATGTTTTTTTTCCCTAAATGGACATATTCCTCCCTTGCCTCACACAGGTACCATCCCATTTTTTAAAAAGGGATTTGGAAAAAAAAAAGTTCCTGGTTTGCAGGAACGTTTGGAAATTCCCCCACCCCGTAGCAATACCTTTCTGAGTGCAAATTCAGTGGGGCCACTGCCTCCCTTAATTTGGATGTGCAACTTGCAAGGCAGTTAACAGCATGGACTCCCTGGCGCTCTCTCGGTTGCCTGCCTCCACCACAACATGTTCAGAAATGGTGGCTGACTGCCCAGGATCTCCAGCTGAGATCTTTCATATCACCTACTGTCAGATCCTTTTAACTTCAGATGCTGAGGATTGAACCTGGGACCTTCCGTATGCCAAGCAGATGCTCTACCACTGAGCCATAGCCCCTCCCTGCTACATAAGAACATAAGAGAAGCCAGTGTTGGATCAGGCCAATGACCCATCCAGTCCAACACTCTGTCACACAGTGGCCAAAAATACCAGGTGCCATCAGGAGGTCCAGCAGTGGGGCCAGGACACTAGAAGCCCTCCCACTGTTGCCCCCCCCCAAGCACCAAGAAGACAGAGCATCACTTGCCCCAGACTGAGAGTTCCTATCTATACCTTGTGGCTAATAGCCACTGATGGACCTCTGCTCCATGTTTATCTAATTCCCTCTTGAAGCTGTCCATGCTTGTAGCCGCCACCACCTCCTGTGGTAGTGAATTCCGTGTGTTAATCACTCTTTGGGTGAAGAAGTACTTCCTTTTATCTGTTCTAACCCGACCGCTCAGCAATTTCATGGCATGCCCACGAGTTCTTGTATTGTGAGAAAGGAAGAAAAGTACTTCTTTCTCGACCTGCTCTATCCCATGCATAATCTTATAAACCTTAATCATGTCACCCCTCAGCCGTCGTTTCTCCAAGCTAAAGATCCCCAAGCGCTTTAACCTTTCTTCATAGGGAAAGTGTTCCAACCCTTTTATCATTCTAGTTGACTTTTCTGCACTTTTTTCCAATGCTATAATATACTTTTTGAGGTGTGGTGACCAGAACTGTCCACAGTACTCCAAATGAGGATGTAC